TTATTTCAACAAGTTCAACTTTTACAGGTTCAATCATGCACTGTAAATCTGTAATGGCAACGTTTGTGTATATTTATTACTACCATAGACCGCATAGCTGGATTCAAGCATGTTGCGTCAGTTTAACATTTATTAAAGGTCAAGTGCTCTAAAATCGGATTTGGTTTTGATTTTTGCGCACATACCACAGACGTAAATCCCCACAGAAACGGCTAGAACGAAGAGACAATTGCTATGGCTACTAATAAAATGTCACTACTGTATTCATGCCTATATTCAGCAGTTTTACGTAGCATAATGTAGACTATACAACTATTAAACTAAATAAGTATATAGTATATAGCTGCACATATTGCGAAGGTGTGGTATAAGTGTGCGTAGTAACAATCGGATTAGTAATGTTATCCTTTGGTTCTGGCCCTGGGCGGCGCGCACCGCGGCTATGACACACCAGTCACCGAAAATAGATACTATACATTATACAATGACCTATAAATGTGACTAATTTTAGACTTTTAGATAGACATAAAAGTGCGCGATTTTCTTACAATCATTAAAAAATTGTTGATTTTACGACGTTCGGTGCGAGGAATGCAATAAGGAAATCGATCAGTGATTATAAAGAGGTGCATTCTCCATTGGTTCACATTTCACAATGGTAAAAAAGTAAAATGTCATCCAGTGATGGAATCATCGGATTCATCCCAGTCGAAAATCAATACTTTCTTTGTAAAAAGTCACATGACAACCAAGGACAATGACCTGCAGTATGACCTAACCCTACTTGGAACTGAATCGAGTGGTAGTTAAGATTCTGCAGTCACGATGTCTTTTGATGAAGATCTATCTGAGAGAAATGTGAAGGAACTCATGAGCGAAAACCAAACGGAACCATTGCCAACGTTCACTGATATGTTGATAAATTGAATTCACTGTGTACAGCTCAGAGAAAATAGTGAACAGAATACGGTGACGGACAGTGAAAATGTTACACCATCTTTAGGTCGAAACGAGGACAGGGTTTCCTTCCTCCGCAACTTTAATCTCTCGCTCCTTATCCTCGCCTTTTACCGTGTCCCATAAAATTTCCACCTTTTTTAGTTTCTATATAATCGTAATTTCCCTAGGTTTTTACGTACATGTTCATCACAGGAGTCGGAGTTAATAAATTAAGAACAACAATTTTTGGAATACTGGTCCTCTCATTATTTAGGCTACACAATGTCTTGCACCAGTACTTGTCCAATTACCCATTTTATACCAAAAAATGTTGTTACGTTAGTAACTTTCTCTTTCTTTGTGAATCGTAATGCCATATATTTAACTTATAATTGAAATGGCTAGGGACGACATATTTATTTTTTTATCAATCTTCAAAGACTTCAAAGGAAAGCCTTACATTTGTAGTCTTCTTAGATTATATAATTTTATGACGTCACGAAATCTATGACGTCACGTCATTCGGGCAAATTCAGCCCAGCCCCCCCAAAAATAATGTGCCCGTACGCCTCAGAGGAGGTTCGACAAGCAGGCCGCAAAGCATCATGGGTTTGAGCGCCTAATTCCAGGCGTGGCTTCAATGACTCTTTGACTATCGTGGAGTGAACATCTCTCCGAGTAAACAAATATGGAAGCATTCGAAATACAAGATTGTCAGGCTGCAAAACTTCGTGAAAATAGCATGTTATTGCTGTATTGTTGCGATCTTCATTATGACTTGTGTTTTACTATACCAAGTTTACCTTATATTAAATTGCATGGGACGTGCTGTCATTTTAGCTTTATAAATAATCCGTCTGTCAAAGCGAAGGAATTGTTTTTATATTCCCAATAGCGACGGCCTTCTTTCTAAGTTGGATGGCGTTAAATATCTGTGTATCATCAATGTGAAAACAAGCGCAGTATTTAAGGTTAGTATATTACAATGCATTTAATACAGTTGACTTGTTATTTGGTCAAATTTCCGCTTTGCTGTTTTCAATATAATTGTACTGTAATTTTATAAATACACTGTACAAATTATGGCGTAATATTTCTAATAATTTAATCCTTTAGTTTGCCCCTTCTCCTGATGAGTTTGTTAACGAACACCCAGCATATGCTTTTGGATTTCGATGTGGATCATATATTGACAGCGAATAGTATTGATGATGAACATTCAGATGATGAACATTGGTTCTCAGATGAGTCTGAAGGTATATTGTTATTCAGTTATTTGTATATGGTTTTATAAATTTTTGCTGAGTGTGATGCCTGTTTGCATCTAGTTGTGGGTGGTTGTTTAAATGTGAAAACTGTAATTTAATATTTTT